CCTATTCACACTTGTGCGTGAGTGTTTGCAGGCGATTTTGAAGCATTTTTCAGGCATTTTCAGTCCTTTTTCGTTTTAGGCCAATGGAAAGTTAGAAGGAGGCGTAAAGCTGCATGAAAAACGCATGTTCTGCGCCCAATTCTGCCCAAAAAGAAGCTTGTGTACTTTTTTAACCTTTAAGCTACAACCAATAGGTCACACAACACTTTACGTGTGAAAGGCCACCATCAAAAATAATAGGATTCTTCATGTTGAGCGTTGTTGCACTTTGGGCAACATGACAAAACGCTTAGGTGTGAATGGGGGCTAAAAGTGACCACACATTCACTTTTGTTTTCCAAAGAGCTCTCATAGGTTGAATGTTTGTCTGTTGTGCTGAGTGACTGCCTACAATCCACATTGGTATATTTTAACGTTGGCTGCTGTGAGCTTTCCTAATTTTCAATGTATTGCAACTTATTGACTAAAATCAATATTGTGTAGCTACCTATAATAATAACCATATGTCAACTTTCATCTGTTTAAGGGTGATAAATCAAAAACATGATTCAGTAACAAGAAGAAAAATGGTTCGGTAAGTATGAGTAGCTTCTCTTTGTGCGTTGACTGTCGCCTAAGATATCCTGGGTTTACTAAAGCTGGCCATACCCCATTTGATTTTGGAAATTAATGGAGTTTTCTTATCGAAAACCACATTCACTGTTAGAATTTAGTTTGAGAAAAATTTTCAATCCTGTTCCTTCAATTTATTCATCACCGCAGTCAGAAATCTGACCGTATTTTACCCCCTTACCTATGAGAAAGTTGAGCGAACTTTATGAAAACAAATTTTTTCAAATGAAACTCTACTGGTGCATGGCCGGTTTTAGATGCTGGGCAATGGACAAAGTGATTTAACACATATAACCCAGACTGCCTATTGTTCTGTAGACTGATTTTCCTCTACAGATAGTGTATGAGCTGTGCTGCTGCCATGATCTATTCTCTATGGGGCTTATGTATAAATTGTGTGCTAACTGGTGATGTGCGTGGGCTTGGTGCACATTAAGCCCTGCAGCTATAGGTTAAAAAGAATGATTGAGCTAGGAGAGGGACAGTTTTGCACGGACTTGGGTGAACTCCTTGCCCACGCACATCACTAGTGCCAACATGACATTCTCCTGCTGCCCACATCAACCAGAATCCTTGTTTCATTGTCAACTGCAGACTACATAAATGTAAGTTTAAAACTGACAATTTGCAATTGACAATCAACTATTTTTCATTACCACACTTTTATAAAAAAAATCCCCATGTTTTCTGTGATTGGTGCTCGCTATATAAGTAAACACAGTTAGTAAGTGCACATAGCAGCCATTTAATAGCTACATCTGCAAAAGGCCCGTCTATAAACTTGATCAATGTCCTTTAACATCAACATTACACATAGCAGGACATTATCACCCAAGTTCAGAAATGTGGAAGTGCCTATTGGCAAAAAAAGAAAGCAAGATTATAACATACTGCAAAAGCCATCTCTGTTTGGATGTGTGGACCTTATGTGATAGAAGTGAACTGCAGCATCTTTGTGACATATAGACTGGAGCACAGAAGTCAGCGACATAGTCCAAAGGGACAAACAGAGATCACATAGACACACAGGACTATAAACGGATCTTGTAGCTGCTCTAAACAGAAACACCTAACAGGAACAGGCCTCCAGCAGAAGCCGGGGCTGGGGGTCTACCTACATTTCCCCACTTGAATGTTCTAAATACCCCGGGTGGTACCTTAAAGCATGTTCTCCACTACAACGCACTCCGCCTCCACCCCACTACAACAATATTTGTGTTGTTCCCTCTACCTGCTATAAGGCAATGTCTAGTCCTGCAGAGCAGACAAGAGAAAAGTGGTAGAGATCAAAGGATAGGAGACAAAGGATGGAGAATGGAGATGAAGATATAGAGAGGAGGTAGACAAATATCATAGCTGCCAACCATCCCCAGATTTCCAGAGGCAATCATACATTTGGAACATTGAAAGTTCTTGGCTCTTTTTTTTCATTTTGTCTAATTACACAATACAACCACAATTTCTGCATGTTGGGTTCAATATAGTGAAATCTTTTAGTGGAACATTTATTTTATAAACTGAGCGAAGAGATTGTTGGACTGATGTCCTCTGGAACAATACTGATCAAGATTTACTGGCTCAGCAGCCAAGTATCCCTGGAAATGATTGGTAATTGTTGGCAACTATTAGATAGATAGATAGATAGATAGATAGATAGATAGATAGATAGATAGATAGATAGATAGATAGATACAGAGATAGATATATACAGAGATAGATAGATAGATAGATAGATAGATAGATAGATAGATAGATAGATAGATAGATAGATAGATAGAAAGATAGAAAGATAAATGGATAGATAGATAGATAGATAGATAGATAGATAGATAGATAGATCTGGCATATTTTGGAGGAGGAACTTTGTGACCTCTGACACTTGTCCTTGGATTTCGGCACACACAAGCTTGATTAATAAGGCAAACAATATGCAAAGTGGAGTACCCCCGAAGCAAGCAATTCGAATTTACGTTTCACCGATAAGACAGAAGTAAACTAAAATCTGATTGGTTGCTACGGGTTACTGCGCTTTCAACATCATGATTGCTCTTTACACTGCTTTTTTTTTTTTTTATAAGCCCAACAGTGCAGCAGTTCGGGAAATGCAGACATGCGGTGCAGAGTTGTGCGCACACAATATTATCAACCGAGAGACACATGGAAGAGACAGGAGAGAGCGCAGGAGGGGGAGGACATAGAAGAGACAGATGGAGGAGGAGAGAGACTAAAAATAGGTGCCAAAGAGAGCAAAAAACAAGCAAAAGAAATGCAGAGAAGAGAGGAGGAGAGGGACTGAGGAGGGGGACAGAGAGAGATGTAGGGGAGAAGGTAAGAAAGAAGTGCCGGTTACACGCCAAAGAGAAAATAATGTATAGAAATAAAGAGAGCAGAAGATGCTATTGGCAGGTGATAGAAAGCGATGGGTGATTCATTTGAACAGAGTGCGGAGAAAGGGCACTTTATGAGTATCTAAAATGCAGCGCAAGTAGATATCATGCAAGTTAGATGCAAAGTAGCACACCGCAGGCTATGCAATGCTTTGTATACGCCTCCTGCAGTGCTGCACACCCCATGTTCCCACGGGCCAGTGTGCAGAGCTGTGCATGCCGGGACTTGAAATGCATCTGACTGTACAGTTGTAACAGGGAAGGAGAGGATAGGGGAGAAGGGTGGCAGTGAAGAGGGGAACAGACAATAAACAGAGAGTATTGTGAACTGTTATGTGACATACAAGCATACATATATTGTAGGACGGGTTCCTCTGGTGTTCAGGGCGTTACTTGATGAGAAGATGGATCATTAAAACAGTGAGTACAGGAAACTGATGGCATGTACTGCCTTTTATCACCTAGTAGATGGTGCTATATGAGATCTGATCATTAATCTCTTAATATAAAAATAATCACTATATAGAGTAATAGTAATGACCTTATTATTGGATCTTCTGATGAGGAAATAATCAATCACAAGTATCTCAGAAAATTTACTGAATCTTCCCAATTCAATTAAAAACGGCTATAATGCACCTCTCACTCATTGCCATTGCTGCAAGACGTAGGGGCTGATTTATTAAAGGCAAATAAGTTGTTCACTTTGCAGGGGAATTTGCACCTAGCTTAGAGAACGTGGTGACATTTCACTTTGCAAAGTATACCCAATCATGAGCAAGAATAAAACGTTAAGGCTGGGTTCACACCTGGGCGTTTTTCAGTGCTGATCGAAGCACTGAAAAATGCTGAGCAAGTGAAATCCCATAATTTCCTATGGGCATGGTTCCCACCTGGGCGTATTTCAGCCCGTGGAAACGTGCTGAAAAACGTCCTACGCCCAAACAAGTACAGGAGCTTCTTTGGGGCGTATTTCAGCGCGTATCCATTGTTATTCCCGAGTGTGGCTCGGGGTTAACAAAGCGGTTACCCCGAGCCACACTCGGGAATACAGCGCAGGTCTTACCTTGTCCGCGATCCCCGCTGTGTCCTCCGGCCGCTGCCGTCTTCCGGGTTCCGTCCCTTGCGAGCGTCCGCGTCGCAGGGGGGCGGAACCGGCGGGAAGTTTAAAAGTTAAAAAAACAGAAAAAAAGAAGAATAAAAAGAAAATAAAGGGAAAAAAATAAATCATACTGCCAGGGAGGTCGAACTCCTCAATGAGCGTCGAACGCGCGTTTCACTGAACGAAAAAGCATGCTAAAAAACGAGCAGAAAAAACCCGCCTACAGTACGCCCAAGTGTGAACCCAGCCTAAAAATCAGTATTTTTGCTTGCACATGATTGGATGAAGGAAATCATCACAGCTTTGCCTCATTCACTAAGCTAAAGGGAAAATTCCATTGCAGAGTGAACAGCCAATTTGCTTTTAGTAAATAAACCCCGTAGAGTGTTCCTCGTCCCCTGCTGACAGAGAGCCATTTTGGAAAATAGGCCATGAGCTTTCTCATGCCTAAATAATGATTCTTCATGTCTTATTGACATGCCTGGTTTGTAGTAAAAAAAAGATTACCTCCAACCTTGTAAATATCCACTCGCAAAATGGCTTCCTAAGTTGTGTAATGGACAGACGCCCTTAATTGCCGGGAACGGTCCAAACAAGATATGCATGTTTGATCGGAGACACTTCATTTATCTTTCAGAAGACACCTCTATATTTTGTATATACGTCCATACTCTTTTTAAGGGCATAGCTAATCAGTATTAATCTGTACCCCTTCATGCCCACCTGGATGCACACGCTCACCATCGCTACATACCGTCCGCCACCCCATCTCCCCATGCACCATGTCCCCAGAGCCAGATGGTGTAGGGTGTAGTGAAGGGTGCAGTACCCCACGATGCGCCGCTTTTCACTTGGGCCCCCATGCCATGTCAACCCCTTTCCCCTTCAATAATACTAACCTTCAAGTCCCTGTGCACAATGTCACAGGAGTGTGTGAAACAAACACTTTCTAATATCTGATGGAGACAGTGACTGTAAAACAAAACCAGCAGACCCACAGGGTACAGGAACAATGATTTGGAACAGACAAGAAGGAAGCATGTTGGGTATGTGAAAACAATTGGCGTCAATGGGGAAGGAACATTTGCATGGGGATAAGGGTAAAAAGGGTATTCATACAGATTATATGTAGGAAGTGCGATTTATAGGAACAGTTACAGAAACACGAGACAATAGGAGAAAAGCAGGTGTGAGTAGGAGGCAGGTAAGACAGTAATGATGGGGTTGAATTAGGTAGAGCATTCGGGGTCCGGGAGATGATAGACAGTTTGCAGGAGAACAATTTGACCAAGACCAATATGTCACAACAAAAGGGGGAAAAAGACAGAGGGAAGACACAGATTGAAAAAGGGGAGAAGGGACAAGAGGAAAAAAACAGTGTCTTAACATCACAAAACATCACATCAGAAAAAGGGCAGTATGCAGGACTGTACAGGGACACATTGTTTATATGCTACAGCAAAGAATGTCAGCCTGGGACCTTAATGGGCTTATTTATTAAGGTTGGTGCAAAGAGCAACCACTACACACAAAGCGCAGCAACAAATCCGACTTCCACTGAAATTCAACTGAGTGGCGGCTGGACGGCTGCAGCACTTTGCACATCATCACTGCTCTTTGCCCAACCATGTTAAATGAACCCATTGGTGTACAGCAATGCAAATCTCAGTAGGAGCTCTTCCAGGTCTTGCTGGGACTACAGCAATTTCGAAGACACAGTGGAGTTTACTAACATCTCTCCAAGGCAGAAATCTGCACTTAAACTATGGCAGCCAATGCGGCCTCGCTTACACTGACCTCCAATAGGCAGGTGAAAGCTGCAATTGTTGATTGGATGCCGATATGATATAAAGTGCATTTCCATTTTATAGCTGGATTGGAATACCACCTACTTCACATGTGTTACATGTTCCCATTCACATACGTTACATGTTCCCATTCACATACTTTACATGTTCCCATTCACATACTTTACATGTTCCACTTCCCATTCCATACTTTAAATGTTCCCATTCACATACGTTACATGTTCCCATTCACATACTTTACATGTTCCCATTCACATAGCATACCTTTAATTTAAACATTTTTAATAAAAATTGCTGCTTATCTTTTTCCTCGCTCGTTTCTGAAAACCCCAAAACTAATTTTTCCCCTGCTATGTAAAATTAAAGCAGAACTCTGGGCAAATCAAATCTTAACCCTTGCATTGGGGCTACCCCTGCACTGCAAGGGTTAAGTGCTTGTTTTGTTTAGGGAGCTAAAATAATAAAGTTATACTCACCAGCACCACAATCCCGGCTACCTCTTAGATCGGTCCCTTCAGCCTTGCTCCCCCTCCACTCCAGCAGTATATGGTCCTGTAAATCATTAGGCTCTATACAGTGTATAGGACATGAGGACGCCGAGGGACATTTCATTATTGAAGGGAGCGTTGTAAGAGCAAGCCGAGATCTTGATTCGGGTGAGTATAACTTTATTATTTTAGCCCGCTAGACAAAATGAGCACTTAGCCCTTGCAGTGCGGGATAGCGCCAATGCAAGGGTTAGGAATTGATTTTCTGCTTTAAGGAGGGGCTGAGGAGTTGTACGGAAATTCCAGCTTTTGCAACAAAATAATAAATGTACGCTTCTTCATGAAAGACAAATTTGCAGTTCTTATTTGCTCTTATCTGGCTCCTGCAGACTGTTCCTCCCGTCCCATGTGCATACCGAGATATGGATATGCAGTAATAGGGACAGGAGGAAATGTCAATGGACTACAAGTGACGTCACAGAATTCTGTTTTCTTTAAATGCAACTAAACTGAATGTACCTAAATGCACGTAAAATCACAGTGCTCATTATACCATTTATACGGATTTATAAATATCCTATAAATGCTTGTACGTCATTGCCAGTCTGAATGAGGCCCTAAAGTGACACTAAACTCTTAAAAATACATTGAAGTACATTAACTATTAACAACAATGTATCTTATTTGTGTATCACCAGCTGTAGATCATCAAATCATCTCTGAATTGGTGCGGACACTGTCCTTCCTTCTGGAGGGGGGTTACGTTTGTTCCCCATGGTCCCTGTGTGTGTTGTAAAGTAGTCACCGCTCCAAGCTCACTTCCGTGATGGACTACAACCTCAGGTTTAGTTTACTAAATAGTATTGAAATACAGTGGTACCTCGGTTCACGAACTTAATTCATTCCACGATTCTAGTCGCGAACCGAATTGGTCGCAAACCAAATCAAACTGTGACCAGACCGCAATCTCGACTAGACGAAGCCACGACCATGAGTCAGAGCGGGGAAGATGTTTGCGGTTGTGTTCGGCACCCGATGCGGAATTTGCGAACGGAAGCAAAATATTGCCAAACTTGCTGTTTGCGAACCGAATTGTTCGCGAACAGAAGCGTTCGTGAACCGAGGTACCACTGTATAGTCCATCACGGGAGAGAGCTTGCAGTGGTGACAACTTTACAACACACACAGGGACCATGAGGAACAAAAGTAGCTCGCCTCCAGAAGGAAGAACAGTGTCGGCACCAATTCAGAGATGATTTGAGGATCTACAGCCGAGTGATACACAAATAAGATGCACACTGTCTCTCCTAACAAAGAGTTAAAGATCTCAAGGCTTGGGTGGTTACATTGTATGTTAATATCTCAGTCTGTCCCTGTTGCTGGCAGTCTGCTCCAAAGAAACAACGAGAAAGGTAAGAATTTTGTAAAAATTCTTTTTAGCTATGCTGTGTGAATGGGAAGACATAACAAACATATAGTTGGGGTTTTCTCAAATCTGACTATGAAAATGGAAATACACTTTTAGCTCTATTTTTGTTGATTTATTTTAGTACAAAAAAATAGCGAATGGGAAGTTTGCAAAACAACCAACTGAATGTTAGCTTGTTTTCTGGCCTGTACTAGAGAAATGATATCTGACACATGATTGGTTGATACCGGCGGCATCCACGGCGCCCCTTCCCTTACACATCATTGTTAGTGTTAGTAAATCTCCAAAGTTCAACAAATTCTGTACGGAAGGCTCAGGTATGAAATGGCTGCAGGGAAATCCCATTGCTGGGGTGATGGTGTGTTCAAGATATAAGTCTATAGTCCTGAAACAGAGAGTGCTGATCTAACAAAACACACAATGAGTTGTTGGCTCTGTTGATATTTTATTCAGTATGTGTTTTGTGAATGTGAAGGGACAGAGAGGGTTTTATATATGTGACATATGAAGTGTAAGGCCCCATTCACACTGCGCGTTTCGCAAATCGCGCGTTTGTTGCGCAATTTGCATTTTGCGCAATATCGCGCGACAAATTTGTCGCGCGATATCGCGCAAATGCTTGCATTGAGCAAGCAGGAATCGCTGCAAAATCCGCTCCAAAAATGGTCCTGCTGTAGCGACGCACGACCCGCGACAGCAGGACCCTTTGCCCCATTGCCAAGCATTGGAAAGCGATATCGCGCGGTAAATAGCCGCAATATCGCGGGAATTACCGCGCGATAAATCGCTCAATGTGAACGGGGCCTAAGAACTCGAAACGAAATATCGCTTGCTCATCATTTTATGAGAAAAACACTTGTTCTTGTATAGATCAACCCTGAGTTGAGTGGCATTCATAATACAGCACAGGACTTGAGTCACCCTGAAAATGGTTGGATGGGGACATGGGTGAGAGGGGAGAGAGGGGAAGGGGGATTCTAGTAATGGAGGATACCCACCTTGCATCTGCTTCACTGTAATATTCTCTTGCCACAATGTCTTCAAACAACTCCCCTCCTGTGACCCTGAAATGCAAGAGACCCGTGAAAACCACTTCAATGTACACAAATATCCATATAATGAGAATATAATGAAAATGTGCTCTGGACAAAGTTTGCTTCACCACATCTGCAAATGCCAAGCTGTACCTATTGGTATATTTATCACATAGAGCTAAACACGTGATAGCACACAATGAGTGAGAAACCTCACTCACAAAATTGTCAAAGGCAAAAATCATTTCAAAGGCAAATTCCTGGTCACTTTAACTATACAATCACGTGAGTATTCACTAAAATATTGAGGAAAGATTCTCAAATTCTTTAGTAAATCGGCCTCAGTACCTCAGTAACACAGCATGCATATGTTAGTGTGTTGCTCTGCCATTCATTTTAAATGGCACCTCAACACTCTTGCACTGCAGTGCACCACATTCCACTGTAAGTAATGCATTACCATGCATCGCCATGCAGTGCTCACCCAACAAAGGGTCTGGTGTGTTTTTCTGTACGTTGGCAGCCTATACAAAATAAAAGGGCTGCTAACCCAACACACTTTAAAAAAGCATAACTTGTAAGCAGGGGTACAGCCGGTCTATTGGTTTTTGGTTCATTTATTAATTTAAAAAAAAATATTTGTGAATGTATAAACTGAGCTTGTCTATCATTTTCTTCTAGTTGTATAACGTGTTTAATTAACAAACAATAAAAAAATAAAAAAAACCTCCCACACAGACCTCACTTTTTGACTGCCTCCATCTAACCGTGGATGCACTTGACGCTCTAGGTTTACTACCTCCTCTGATTCATTCATTAGTGTGCTATGAATAGACCTGAATAGCAGGAGACCAAATTACAAAAGCATTCACAGCATATTAGTGAATGACTCTACAAAGGTGCAGGAGAATAGGCTTACGTCTACTACCTGCTATATGGAAGTCATGAATTTCAAATTAACATATGCAGTATTTCATATTTGCCACCTAAAAATACTTTTTTTTACATTTTTTTAGTCTGGAACACAAATAAATGTAAAAAAATATATTGACAACAAATACTATTTACTGATATAGTCTACAGTAGCTTTCCTGTGAAACAGTCCTTTGGGAGTTTTGTTTTTCTTAAAGGGGAAGTCAACTTATAAAATGTAAAATTGCCAGCAGGTAGGGTCGTTCGGTAAAAGAGACTTTATACGTCTCTTCTGCCAAAAACACTCTTTTACTTACCTGCTAGCAATTTTAATAATCAGCGCAATGACGGTGGCACACGCGCAGTACAGTGTGCAGTCCTGGCATGGCGGAAATGGAGTTGGTTGCCAAGATAATGTCATGTAGCATGCGCGCGGCAAAAGTTACATTATTGGTGCCTGCCCAGTTGGCAAAGCAAGGTGACAGCAGACCTCTCGTGGTGGAAGAGAGCACCCCCAGAGGTAAGTGTATCATAATGTGTAAGTATGCCGTGTACATGCACATTATGGCAAATTCCGGGTGTGAACCTAGCCTAAGGGTAACAACAAGGTAGCAGAAAAGGAGATAACAGTAAACCCCTAATATTAAAACCAAATCCACTACTACCTCTCTCAGTCTGTAGTTGCTCTTACACAAAATGTCCCAGCATTCTCAAACCTGTGAACCTTAAAGTGACACTAAACTCAGGAGTTAAATCTTAAAAACGCATTCAGGTACTTCAACTATTAGCAAAAATGTATCTTATTTGTGTATCACTCGGCTGTAGATCCTCCAATCATCTCTGAATTGGTGCCGACACTGTCCTTCCTTCTGGAGTAAAGTAGCAACCGCTCCAAGCTGGCTCCTAGACATGTGCGATTTGTTTCATTCCCGAATCAAAATTCGTACGAATTTTCTGAAATCTGGACATTTGGACACATCCGAATTTCCAAATCCCAATGCATCCCAAAGTGTCCGAATCGAATTTTTCCGAATTCTGGATCCCGTTCGAATTTCGATCAAAAACTAAACTGAATCAGACGTGACTTTTCTGGCCAATCAGAAATGTTTTTCGGATGAATACATCTGAATGGGTCTGAACACGAATTTTCGTTACGGCAACATGGGAGCCATATACAGTATATACATATTTTACTAAAGCGGAGACTCCCAGACCGGAATGGCATTGGGGAGCTCCCGAATGCAATTCAGAAATTCGGATCCCGAATGTCATTCGGGTCTAGGAGATTCAGCTTCAGTATTAATATCTGTATACGGTTTTCTGTCGTATACGCAACGAATATTCATAAACTCATCTGAAACTAACGAAATTCAGATTTCGTTTGAATCCGAAACCCGAACCAAAATGAATTTCAGATCCAAATCCCAAAATAACGAAATATCTGAACCAAATTTTTCCTCAGCTTACATGTCTACTGGCTCCTGTCATGGACTACAATCTCAATACAAATGAGTAACCTAAACATGAGATTGTAGTCCATCACGGGAGCGAGTTCGGAGCGGTGGCTACTTTACAACACACACAGGCACCATGGGAAACAAAAGTAGCCCCCCTCCAGAAGGAAGGACAGTGTCAGCACCAATTCAGAGATGATGTGTTCTATTTTTGCACTATTATGCACTATTTTTTCTGACCGCACAGGACTGGAAAGCAGGCATTGATGAGCCACGCGATCCGTTGCGGGCAATCGCACTGAGGCTGCAGGGCCTGGCTGCGGCACCATTGGCTTCAATGCACCACCACGCCCCCTCCCACCCCAAAACAAAGTGAGCAGGCCGGAATGCCATCCAGTGTGTTCCGGCATCAACCGGGCCAGAACGCACTGGGGCTGGTGTGAACTAACCCTTAAGGTTTGACTCCTGAGTTTAGTGTCACTTTAACAATGCTGGGACGTTTTATGTGAGAGCAACTGCAGATTGAGAGGGTTAATGGTGTTATTTTGCACTGTAATTCTGTTGAGAAGGTCTGTATGTGACTAGTTGCTACAATGCAATGCACACAGTGCTTGGAAACGTGACCTTGTGGGATATATTAGTGCGTTCAATGTAATAATAATAGTATATCAGTAAGTGCAGGCTAATAAAAGCTGATGGACACGAGTACCGTATAGTAATCATTTAATCTAGTGTTTCTCAACTTAATTAAAATATCTACCCCTAGTTCTTGCCAGATACCCCTTGGTTTGGATTATCTTATATCAAGTATACTTTTGCATATATCTGTAATTACCATAATAAAACTAATAGCTCTATATAAGAGAAATAGACTTCTCAAATGTGAAAACAGATCTCTGAAAAGTGATTTCTGATGATAAAAGACATAAAATAACTGACTGCATAACTATACACCCCCTTCATGTCAGTATTTAGTAGATGCATCTTTGGCAGCGACGTTGATTGGTATCTACTAGAAATGGAACCCCGCAAAAAAATAGTTTCTTTTCATTTCGGATCCATTCGGATTTTTCTTTCATTTTTTTTTCGGATTTTGGATCTGATATTTGATTCGGTTCGTTATTCGGATTTCGGATCCGTCCTAATTTTCGTTTTGGAACCAAGACACATGACTGTGCCTGTAATGCGACCCCCAATAGCCAAAAACAAAATCTGTGGACGTGTGCATATTATGTTTACACGCAATAGCGCACGCACGTGAGCTTATGGGCGTGCGCTCATTAGCGTTCGGCCGCACGCTCTCTAGCACGCTCAAATTCCATATATAAACTGTTAGAGGCCAAGGTCAAGTTGCTGAGTGGTCGTCAGCTAGTCCCTGTGTGCCCTGCATTCTGTTTCTGTATCCTGAATTCCTGTGTTTGAACCCGGATTGTGACCATTGATACCGCTTCCTCTTTCTGATTTGGTACCTCTGCTCTCTGGTGTACAACCTTGGCTTATGACTCCTAACCCTGCTCCTGATATGTGATTTGGCACCTCAAGATTCTGCTTCTTGTGTATGACCTCGGCTTGAACCTGACTTCGCTCCTGGCTTGCCACTTGGTGAATTGCTCCACCAGAACCTTGAGCATCTTCATCCAGCCAATGCTTCACTGGTCTCACACCTGTTGCCTGATCTGGTTCCAAGAGGTCCCGGTGTCGTCCCAGTCCTGCAGATTCACCAGCTGGTCCAACACATACATGCACCTCTATGAACCATCTCTATAAACCGGCGAGCCAACAGTAGCGGCGCCTGTGCCTCTCTCCATCCTTACATCCTCTGTCGCCACCTCCAGAGGTGTGGGGTGAGAGGTGCACGGGCAGCCCCCTTCTCAGTTGGGTCCCCAGTCAGGTATGTGATAGTGAGCCTTCTGGCAAACTGTAGGCAAGATGTCATGTTTGTTTTAGTGTACAGTTTCTTTCTTTTTGTAACATGCTACCATAATTCTGTGGCTGGTGAAACACCCATTTAACAGTTGTTGCATTAAATCTCAGCCATTAAAGCTTGTAATTTTTTTAAAGTTGTCATAGGTCTCTTGGTGGCTTCCCACACTAGTCATGCACATTCATTTACTCTTACAGGGTTATTCACTAAGCTGACGAAGGCAGCCGAGCCAAAGTGAACAGAGCCGAACGACGCCCGGCTATTCAGTACGGCTGATTTCACCCAGCTGAACATGCTCTGACGTGACGTCAGGGCCAGCTCCGCCCAGTTGTTATTTTTTAATGACAGATCAGCATCATTTGACAGATCATTTGGGGATGCTGATCTGGCATTACAACTGGGCGGAGCCCAGCTGTCATTTGCGGGGCAAAGCGCTTCGGCTGTCACTTCGGCTCAGTCGAGCCGAAGCATATGCAGCTCGGCCACCTTCAGCTGCTGTACAGCAGCCCTTCGGTTCGACTAAACCGAAGGGCTCCAGAGGCTGAAGAGAGCCGAAGGATCAGCCAAAGCTACAGTTGTATCCTTCGGCTAAATAGTGAATAGCCACCTTAGTGTAGGGCCTGTCCTTGGTAGATGTACAGCTTTGCCATACTTTTTCCTTAATGATTGTCTAATGATACTGGGATATTCAGTGCTAATCGGGAAGCCGGGTAGCGAGTCTTTACACGCCGCTCTGCTTC